TCCATGACATTTAAAAGTCTCATTTAAAAGTCAGATGCGGCAACAGGCACACACTGAGTCACGATTCCATCTCGAGGGCTTTGGTGCATGCACCAGAGATGAATCATCTTGATATAAGTATTCATACTATGTAACTATCATCATGGATATTCATGTTTATACGAGGTGTGGTAATTTTGCTTTTAGAAGCGTTGTTTTAAGTTGGATACGTGCTACTGGATTGAACCCAAAATAAAGAGTGCCCCGAAACGTGTGATAGACATGAAGGTGCTTAGCTTAGAGTGATTGCCTAGCCACTGGGGGTGAGGTGTTACCGAAATTGTCAGGTGCTCTGGTTAAATATTTAGACACATGTTCTACACAGGTACACATAACTCCAGCTGACCTCGCATCCCTCTCAACTGCCTCCTTCCATCTTGTCGGGTGCCTTCCTCTCTTCCGCCAGCCACCTACGTCCTCTGGATTCCAATCTATCAAGGCCCAAGATAGTCTCTCTGGCCCCATACGACATACATGATCGAACCATCGGAGTCGCCTTTTCCGCAGCCATAGCGAGACTGGTGGCTGTTGAGTTCTCTCCCTGATGGCTGAATTCCGTACTCGATGAAACCATCATACTCCCAGGATCCTTCTGAGGCACTGATTACTAAAGGTATCCAGCTTGTGTTCTTCCGTGAGGGTGGTAGCCCACATCTCTGCTCCGTACCGTAGTGTTTTGATTATCACAGCATTGTATATGTGAAGTTTAGCCTTCAGGCTGGTTTTACTTCTCCACACTTTACTCATCTGTGCAAAGGCTGCTGATGCTCTACCCTTCCTCACCTGGATCTCTGTGTCCAGTTTATTGGTCATTGTGGCATAAGAACCCAGGTACCTATCACTGTCCATAGCCTCGACAGGAGTATGCTCCAGTGTGATCACTGGGTCCACACTTCCAATTCCCATACCTTTGGTTTTGGGGCGTGAGACGGTCAGGCCAACCTCTCCGCCAGATGTTCCCCATGTTATGGAGTGATCTGTTGCCACTTGCGGACTTGCATTCGAGAAAGGCTACATCATCCACAAAATCCAGGTCAGAGAGATAC